GTATGGAAAAGGTTGGGTGAAGGTGGGGAGAGGGTGGGGAGAGGGTGGGTAGAGGAAGGGTAGAGGGTGGGGAGAGGGTGGGTAGAGGGAGGGAGGGGGTGGGTAGAGGGAGGGGAGAGGTAGGGGAGAGGGGGGGGAGAGGGAGAGAGATAGACCGAGAGGTAGGTAGGTACATACCAACACATTTATACATATAATACATAGTATCTATATTCACTGTATATATGCACCGTACATGTAAACTTGTCGAGAGAGAAACGCGAGTCGAAGGAGTGCGGATTATAAGCACTTCCACCGCCACGCCATCCGCTCTTGAGCGCGCTACACAGCACAGCTGCATACAATTGCAGCATCGTGTCGTACTGCATGACTTCTGTCTTTTCGCTCTTTGTGCTTCTTCAGTGATTCAGCGGACATACACACTTAGGCGGTTTTTCCGTGGTAGCAGTCCCTCTGTGGCCAGTGTCGTCAGGCCTGGTCAGATACTGTAACGTTCACATGCTTGGGCAGCCAGAACAGACATAAACATACAAACAAACGTAGAAACGTACAAACAAACAAACATACATGCATACATACATACAAACAAACAGCAAACATACAAACATACATACACATACATACATAAACACATACATGCACACATAAACACATCCACAGGTCGCCAAGACACATCCACACACACGTGGCAACCTCCCCAGCCTCACCGCCACCGACAGCTCCGCCGACCCCCAACATGCCGCCCCCATTCCGTCCCCCCGGCGCCACCGACGCCTCCTCATCCACCGCCGCTACCCACGGAACCGCCGGCAGCACCGCTTCCACCAACTGCGACTGGCTGCCGCTCGCGAGCGCCGCCAAACAGCTGCGCATCTCCAGTCCCGGCATCAGGCCGCACAGCCGCCACCAGTTGCTGCTACTGCTGCTGCTGCTGGTGTTACCGGTCCCTGTTTTCCGTGCACGTCGGGATTAGGTAGGTGGGCGGATGTTGGAAGTGAACGTCGAAGCTTTTTCAAATGTACATGTTGGTACACAAGTGTGGTTGTTTTGTGGAGGGAGCGCACGTCGGTTACGTTTATAAAAGTGTAGAGATTGGCCAT